CAGATACTAAGAACTTACAGCAAAGTCAACATGCGACCGAACTGTGTTCCAGGTCTGCGGATGACAAGTGCTCGGGACAGCTGAGTTCGAGTGTGCATCAGAAGGGAATTGACTTGCAGTTGAGTAAGCTGGCTGCCCAGACAAAGGCATCTGCTGTTTCCCTCGAAGCTGCAAAATGCCCGAGGCAGTTGCAGATCCGAGACCCATTTGTGTTGGAGCTGGCCCAACGACCGATGGGCTCTGAAGCCGATCAAGGACAGTCGGTGGAAGTGGTTCTCCGGACAGGGAAGGGTTGTTATTTCCACAGGCAGAAGCGCGACTTTTGCTCGTGCCAGAACTCGACTTGTTGGCACTTGCGGATGCAGCTTTCCTCTTTTTTGTCGCCTTCCCACGAGGCGGCGCTGTTTGTTGCCCTTCATTCAATGAACCTGAAACTGCGGCAGCCATCGTCATTGCCACGGTAGACTGAACGCCAGCAACCGTTGCCATAGGCAAAAGTGAGGGAGTCGAGAGTACAGAGGCAGCAGATGACGCAGTGGGAAGCATCGTATAGGTCGTCGCCGGAACCGGTGGCAGTGACAGTGGAAGTTGCAGTTGCAGTGGCAGCGGCATAGGCAGTGACGAACATGGCGGTGCTGTCGGCAAGGGAGGCGTCATCTGGAGAACTCCCGGTTGCCCTGAGGAGGAATGTAAAAAGCAAGCACCATTTAAGCCCAAGCTCATTTCAGATGGGCCGAGCCATGCTGTCGAGTCGATAGGCAAAGCCTGGTCGTAGGGTCGTTTGAGTCCGCTCCCAATACAAGAAGAGTTGGCAACAGTCACTCCAGCAACTCCAGCAGAAGCAAGACCAGGCGCTGCCACGGAAGAGACCATTCTACGAGAAGAGTCGACTTCGCTATTGTTGGGCGGCACAGACATCACGAGGGGACGCTCAGCAACCGCGGAAGGAGGCAAGAGATCAGGCGAAAGTGAGACCGTTCCAGAGTGCGCTGATGACGTCGAAGGCAAGAGGTGTTGTTGTTGCGATGGCAGCGAAACAGATTCAGCCAGGCCAGACGTCTCATTCAGTCCACGAGGACTCAATCCGCCGCCCAGAGGAGTTGTGTAGATGCCAGAGGACTCGAGACCGAGGGGTGAAGCCGAGAGAGGCAAGGAGGCACTGGGAAGAGAGACGTAAGTGGAGAGAGAAGAAGGGGCCTGCAGAAACTCAGAGCCCGGCGGACAAGAAGATGAAGAAGAGGAAGAAGAAGAAGAGGAAGAAGAAAGTGGCATCGCGTAGGGGTCAGCGGTTGGTGGTCTTGTGAGCAGAGCATTTCTGGCGGCTTCCTTCTCGCGCTGGTAGTCAAGGCAGAGACGGTCCCATTCACGTTTGGCCGCTTCGCTGCCGGCACCACTCGCAGAAACGAGTTGGCCTCCAGGGCCGGTTAAGTAAGCCCCAGGCGATGCAGGACCCTCAACGCAGGTAGCAGGAAGGGGCAAAGGAGCGGAAGGCGTACCTGATAAACAGTCGACGAGTGGGGAAAATGGAGCAAAATGGAAACAATTAGATGAGATCAGATGGGCTTAGTTATGTTGAAATAAATTGATCAACGTAAGGCAACCTAATAAGTGGAATGTTCAAGACTTCAAAGCGGGGGCTAAATCAGCTTGCAAGCAATTATAAATCAGGCTTAAGCAAACCCGTAACACAGCACTGAGTTGTAGTCAAGAGACGCGACAAGGCTGTATGTTGTAAAATGATGAAAAAGGAGAAAATAATGGCGGTGGTAGTGATGGTAGCGAAGTATCTTTAAACAAAAAACAGCAGAGGCAAAT